ATTTGTGATTAAATAAAAAGGATTGTCAAATGATGACGACATGTGAAAGCAATATGACTTGGCCAAATAGCAGTTTTTTTCCACCTTGAGAATAAATTGTCTTTTTGGGAGAGGAATAATGTTAGATCGATGCCTAAGGCAATTTAGTCTTTTATTCGCTACTATCGCGGGTATAAATCAACTTTAATATGCTTAGGATTAGGTTATGCATGAGATTTTGGCATCGAGTCTTATAAGTTTAGGGTTTGGAGAGATTGCCTTCTCTTGAATAGTAGGTAATGGGAGAGATCCCTTGCCTCTCGGGTTGTAGGCTCTTATATGTATGTATTTGAGTTATGTTGCTTTGTGTTAGTGAATAAAAATATTTTATCTGGCCTAATTTCTATGAATAAATTACCTCTGACTTGTATTATTATTTCAATAATGTTCAAATCACAAATGTTGGAATTTACATGTCCAAATCACTTAGTATGATTCTCTTCTTCATAAGAACTGGAGTTGACAAAACTGATAATTTATAGATATTCAACTATCAAATTTCAAATAAATTTCAAGCATAAGTAATTCAAGTGTCTAGTTCCTCAATTATGGTCATATTGATTTAAAATACCATCTGGAAGAGCTAGTTTTTAAATCTAATTTTTAGAATAACAAACTGAAACATCTAAGTTAAAATCAATCACTTATAAGTTAAAAAAAAAACTCCATCCACCCTTTATAATAATTTGTTGAGGGTAATAAATTTCTAGCTGACTTTTGTTTACAAAAAGTGAATATCATATCGAGTGTATCATTATCACATAAAATAATCTCAAGCCAATAAGGGTGTGACTCGAGTCCTCTGTCTGAATGATTTGGCCCAACAACTTCACAAAAGTAGCGATTAAGACCAGAGCCCTATGATGTGTGGTTTGTCATCAAAAGACATCATTATGTTATGGTCACGACTGCAGCTCATGATTTCTAACGAATTTAAATTATTTGAGTTGTGAATAATAACGGTATATTTAATTAGCATAAAGCCATTTTATTATCTAATATCGACTTAAATTTGTCCCTTAGACAAGCATGCGCCTCAGATTTACAAGAATCTCATGGACGACGAAGCTCATAGTTACTAACAAGAATCTTTCAATAAAGTAGGATCAACGACCTCCTTTCACTAAGTAAATCAGGGACCACAATAACGTGGGACGACATAACCATGATATATTTCATCCACGTTTTCCCCACCAACCGCTTTAATCTCAAGATAATAAATTGATCGACCTAAAACCCTAAGTTTGTTGTTACTATATGTTGAATATGTAGTGTTTAATGATTAACCTCAATCAAAAGTGTTCTCCCATTACCACCGTTACTATGAGGGGTAACTAATCATAGAGGCTTGCATCTATAGAAAACCTCAAATCCTAGATCAAAAAGCCATCATAAAATGAGGGTGAAATCTCTAATTACTGTCTTTCTAAAGTCTAATCTGTCTAATAAAAATTTCACCTGGAATATCAAATACAAAATTATCAACGATGAGGGTTCAGGGCATCGAATTTTCGAAGCCCCAAAAGTATCCTCAACAAATAAAAATCAATAATTTATCAGCAAAATTTTAATTGCATGATTATTTTCAGATGAAATGTTGATGTACATCTGAACGAGCACACCATCGAATGCACTGCAAGTGATGAGTACTATTAATTTTACAATTGTAATTATTTTTATTTTGTTTATTCAGTGTTGAGCATGTCGATAATGACAACTCCTATAACAGTGTGTTGTATTCTATCGTATTTTGAATATTCTATTAGATTTAGTTCATAGCTACAAGATTTAGATTCAATTATTGAATTCCAATTCAACATACTAGATTTCATAATCAAACCAACAACTACTATGAACTGAATTTAAAGGGTACTTTCTGCTTCTCTTGACTAAATTATTTATGTTGCACCTGCACCTAAAAATTAAACTTTAAACAGGGAACTGTATTTTTTATGAAATGACTTGATGTTGTTGGAATTCTTGATGTATTGAAACCTATTGTGTTTGAATAGATTTTCACAAATTCTGAGAAAATTCTTATTTTGGGTTGTAGACTATAAATAAGATAATTGAGACGTAAAAAATATCTAGCATTGAGTATAATAAGCATTCTAATTTTCTTTAATTCTTACATGTGTGTTTGTCGGATGTGTATCCTTCAAGTGCTTTGCAGTTGTTAAAAACTACTTTTGAGAGCAATTCTTCTTGTATGAGTGTGAGTCCTAGTTCTATGTTTAGGTAATTTGTATCCTTATTCTTATTTAATTTGTTTATTTTTAGGTTTATGTGCATTACTAGAATTTTGTAAAGCATGAAACGTATAGGATTTTCTTTATCAATTGTGTTGATTGTTGCTCAAATTTTGAGCTGATTCAATATTTTTCTTAAAAATTTTCAGATTTTTACAGCAATTAAATTATTGTTTGAAATAGATAAACGGGATTATAATAGATCATATTATACTCTGTTATGTTGCCCTACATTTTACTATACTCTAATAAGATATCTTACAATGTATCATATATCAATATATGTTGAAGCTCTTATTATAGCATAAGTCAAATCAATCAAGAAAACCAACACCATATCTTTGAATTTATTTGAAGTGATGGGAGAAATTCAGGAGGCATATTTTAACTAAATTTCCCTTAACGTTATATTATGTTTTATATAGATCCAAAGTTGCAGTTTGCAATGAACACAAGCCCACATAGTTAATGTAAGAGAATATTATATATGATTTTATATTATATCATATGTCATATCAATTAAGAAAAACCGGCACCTTATCTTTGACTTTATTTAATGTAATGGAGAAACTCAGCAATAGTTTTTGCTAATGTAGACAGTTTATTTAAATACATTTCCCCTAGTGTTATATCAGAGTTTATTCAAAATTTAAGATTGTAGTTTCCTATAGACATAAGTTCCTATAGTTTATTAACTCTTGATATGAATAAAACAAGTGCAACTTTCCTGCACTTTAATCTATGTTTATGGTATATTTTATGACCATATGACATTTGGGAAAAGTATTTTTGTTATGTTGTGCAGATTATATGATTTAAGCCACTTGGGGGAGAAAACGAGGCAAATTGATAGCAAAAGGAGTAAAATCAAACGGGCACACCCATGCCCATGGTGCAGCGCACCCCCGTCAGGATACCAAAAGAGAGTGCACTCGCACTCAGTTCAAGCGCACCTGTGCCAGGACCGATCTAGGACAGTTGCAAGACATAGCATGCAGCATACCCGTGCCACAATCAGGGCCCGTCCGTGCCACGAAGCCAGCATCCCCACGCCTTGCAAGCAATAAAAGGCCCAACGCCCCAACGCCATGTACATTACGCACCTGCGCTTGCTTCTCTCTTAGCTAGTGCACCCATGTCGGACACAATCCAGATACAGCGCACCGGTGCTAGGCACAGGTGCGGACACGCCCAATACGCAGATTATAAATTTGGGAGGATCTCTTGCCTTTGGGAAGAGCTTGGGCTATAAATACATTCCTTAAACTGATGGGGACATCTTTGGACAACTGGAGGCTAAGGTTTCTAGTGAGAAGAGTTTCTTTGAGTGCCTTATAGGTTTCTCTCTTCCTCCTTGAAGGAAGAAGCCCTTATGGTGATTTCTTGGTATGTTTTTTATGTTTTTGAGAGGGATTTATAAAAGAGGGATTGCAGCTGTTGTGCAAGAGGTTATTCCTAAAGCATATTCATTGTAAGGCGAGGATCGATGTTGTGATGGAAAGCAAAACTTTTTGTATGTTTTTATTTCCATCTATGTATTGGTTTTCAATGATTTCAATGACTCGTTTTGCTTTTTCGCCGCATGTCTTGTAGCTAAATTTCTTTCATGCTTCTTTGACGTTAGGATAATAGTTTCCATGGTTTTTCCAGCATGTGATGTCCTTGTAACGTTTACTGCGCTTTTCGAGTATGCAAGTTGTTGGATTAATATTTTGAACTTTGTTTACTTCTGATCTCGTTCGTTAGAAAGTTTAAACTATTTGTGATCTAGGACTTCTACCCAGAAACAAATAAGTTAACTCACAAAGATCTAGTAAAATAAGCATATTAACATTAGGGCTTTCCAATCTAGATAGGGGATTTGAAAAAAATCCTGGGAAACATTGTATGGTTAAGCGCAACTTAACTGTAAATATGAATTTCAACTTTTTTTTAAAAGAACTGTTATCCCTGACTAACAATTATCATGTAGGGGAATCACTAGAAAAACCACAAAACACGCAACACTTGTATCACAAAAACACAAGAGTTTTATTCACTGAAGAACACCTAAACTTAGTACTTCCGGTGTTTCCTAATCTTGCTTTGTTTTCTTTTCTGATTTGCTTAGGATAGTAAGATTTGAAACTCGCAATTGTGATCAAATCAAACTAGGTCCTCTAAATTAGTAAACTAGATATTCATCAGTCGAGATTGAACTTAAACCTTTCCTTGTGGGACCAACACGCGGACTTGTAAAATCACATATTACTTGACACGTATACTTGCGTGCTTCATCACTTGCCTCATGGCAACTATTTGGCCATCAGCTCTCTGACTTGCAAGAAAACACTCTTGATTGCAGAGGTTATGTAGGTGGATTGTGAGTTTTTAGATCTTCTTATTTTGAATCTAAATTTAGGCTACGTTAATAACCTTAGACCCTTAATCATCCAACATTACATCTCACACAACAATTTCACTCATTATGATGGATTCTATCTCATACTAATATCATTTCAACAAGAAGTTAATTGAGTCAAAACTTTTAACAACATAAACAATGTTAAATCTTAAATATAGTTTAACTACCACCTCAAAAGATATCTATGTTAGAAAGAAAGAAAGGTATTTCACCATGCTATTTAAAAAATAAACAAAAAAAAAAAGAATGATGAAGGAACATAAAAAAAATAAATAATAAAAACACAACAAAAGAAGCTATATGCATACCTTACTTTTCTTTATTTCTTCCATCAAGCGATCTCTCTGCAAAAATAAGAACGCATGCGAAACCATGATATTACTTAAAATACCTCAAAAAAAGTTATTACACCATTCCAATATATGTGATTCAAAAAGGCCAGGATCCATCAATGGATAGTCTCCACATGGTTTTTCCATGGTACCAAAGCCATTAGCTTTAATGCCACTAAAAAGTTTTTGGTTAACATCATGGAAAACTATATGTAGATGAATAGCCGTTAAACTATAAAAAAGACACAATGCAGTACTAGTCATGGAGTTTTGGACTATAAACATAATATATAAAATTTTAGCAAAGAGAACTGCCTATTGGTGCCAAGGACCCAAAACCTAGATACAATGTGCCAATGGTTGGCGTTAAACAAGTAGTTAAACAAGTGTGATTATCCATCCAGGTATCATTTAGTAAAGACATTGCAATGAAAATTTGGGCTTTTAAATATCATGCTAGGAAAACAAAAATAGTAATATCATGGATACTCATATCTTAGCACGTATATCGTGTCCATGTTATTCTCAACAATCCAAATATTTGCTTAGTAATTCTTCACACTTCTACTTTGAAACCTCCAAGAAAAATTTGAGATGACTCTGCCCGGTAATATGTTGCTGCTCATTCCAAAGTAGGTAGAATTTCGGCAAACTTCTCAATATTTATCCCGATATGTTGACCTCAATTTTCGTGAGGTCTAGTCTTTCGCTTAGGGTTTAGGATCTAGCCTTAGGAATCTTCCTTTGACTATCTTAGAACCATAGAAGTGGGACCCGCCTCGTTTTAGTTCGACCCGCTTCCGTCCCCTTCTGGAGTTTAGCGTGTGTGATATCAACTTTTAGCACTTAGAAGGACGAAACCAACACGAGGAAACCCAAAAGGGATTCCCTATCGGACCTTCCTGAGCCTTAGGGTGGCCTTTTGCATAATTCGCACTCTCGCGCACAAACTTCGCAATTCGGAGAGTCGACGCGTTTGATCGCCACGATTCGCATCGCTTGCACTGTTATTTGTCGAGGGATTCGGAGAGTCGATATGTCTGATCGCCGCAATTCGCATTGCCTGCATTGTTACTTATCCAATGCTCAATTAAACCTTTTGGGACGATCGATCGCGGGTCGAAATTTTGTGAAATTTAAATTTTGACGCGTTTTGACCCGATTGTCGACGACGTCGTCCGAGCGACCCCGGATGACGAAACGGACTGTGCCAACGCGTCTGGAACGTCAATTTTGCCCGGGAAGGACACCCATTTTGTCGCGTCGCCGCGCGCGAATAAATTGTGTTTTAATTAATATATATCTATATATATATGTTTATATATATATATATTTATATACATATTAATTAATCATTTTTCCCGTTTTCCCTTTCCTCTTTAAGCCCTAACTCCTCTAACGCACGCACCCGAGCTCTGTCTCCTTTCCCTCTTCCGTTCGCGTGCCTAGCCCTTTCCCTTTCTCGTTCTCAAGCCGACCGAACTCATCTTCCTCCGCGCGAGGGAGGGTTGACCCCGCTCGTCCTTGCCTGACATGCTGCTGCCCGCGGCCTTCCTTCCCGAAGCGATGCCAGTCTTTATGAGCTGTGGCTTTTCTTTTCTTGGTAGTTTGACTCTGGGAAGCTTGTTCCCTGGTACACTTGAATGACATTTCTCCTCCTCTTTCCGATGTTTCCCTCGCTGCCACTAGGTTGGCCGCTCGGTCTGAGGTGCTTCCGTGGC